TCTGCCACATTGCCCCCCTATCCACCCTGTCATACGCCTTTTCCAAATCCATAAATGCCACAAAGACCTCTTTAGCCTTATCTAAATACTGTTCACTTATATGTTTCACTGTAAACACCTGGTCCACACACCCCCTACCTTTCCTAAAACCTCCTTGTTCATCTGCTATCCTATTCTCCGTCTTACTCTTAATTCTTTCAATTATAACTCTACCATACACTTTACCAGGTACACTCAACAGACTTATCCCCCTATAATTTTTGCACTCTCTTTTATCCCCTTTGCCTTTATACAAAGGAACTATGCATGCTCTCTGCCAATCCTAGGTACCTTACCCTCTTCCATACATTTATTAAATAATTGCACCAACCACTCCAAAACTATATCCCCACCTGCTTTTAACATTTCTATCTTTATCCCATCAATCCCGGCTGCCTTACCCCCTTTCATTTTACCTACTGCCTCACGAACTTCCCCCACACTCACAACTGGCTCTTCCTCACTCCTACAAGATGTTATTCCTCCTTGCCCTATACACGAAATCACAGCTTCCCTATCTTCATCAACATTTAACAATTCCTCAAAATATTCCCTCCATCTTCCCAATACCTCTAACTCTCCATTTAATAACTCTCCTCTCTTATTTTTAACTGACAAATACATTTGTTCTCTAGGCTTTCTTAACTTGTTAATCTCACTCCAAAACTTTTTCTTATTTTCAACAAAATTTGTTGATAACATCTCACCCACTCTCTCATTTGCTCTCTTTTTACATTGCTTCACCACTCTCTTAACCTCTCTCTTTTTCTCCATATACTCTTCCCTCCTTGCATCACTTCTACTTTGTAAAAACTTCTCATATGCTAACTTTTTCTCCCTTACTACTCTCTTTACATCATCATTCCACCAATCGCTCCTCTTCCCTCCTGCACCCACTTTCCTGTAACCACAAACTTCTGCTGAACACTCAACACTACATTTTTAAACCTACCCCATACCTCTTCGACCCCATTGCCTATGCTCTCATTAGCCCATCTATCCTCCAATAGCTGTTTATATCTTTCCCTAACTGCCTCCTCTTTTAGTTTATAAACCTTCACCTCTCTCTTCCCTGATGCTTCTATTCTCCTTGTATCCCATCTACCTTTTACTCTCAGTGTAGCTACAACTAGAAAGTGATCTGATATATCTGTGGCCCCTCTATAAACATGTACATCCTGAAGTCTACTCAACAGTCTTTTATCTACCAATACATAATCCAACAAACTACTGTCATTTCGCCCTACATCATATCGTGTATACTTATTTATCCTCTTTTTCTTAAAATATGTATTACCTATAACCAAACCCCTTTCTATACAAAGTTCAATCAAAGGGCTCCCATTATCATTTACACCTGGCACCCAAACTTACCTACCACACCCTCTCTAAAAGTTTCTCCTACTTTAGCATTCAGGTCCCCTACCACAATTACTCTCTCACTTGGTTCAAAGGCTCCTATACATTCACTTAACATCTCCCAAAATCTCTCTCTCTCCTCTGCATTCCTCTCTTCTCCAGGTGCATACACGCTTATTATGACCCACTTCTCACATCCAACCTTTACTTTAATCCACATAATTCTTGAATTTACACATTCATATTCTCTTTTCTCCTTCCATAACTGATCATTTAACATTACTGCTACCCCTTCCTTTGCTCTAACTCTCTCAGATACTCCAATTTCTTTTTTGTCATCTCTATATAAATCATCTTTGAATAATGAACCAATACTGAAAAAGGTTTATGACTTAGATTTTGCCTATGTTCTTTTTGTGATTCATTTGTCTGGTATGAGTGCTTTAGTTTATGCTCTGTGTCTGCAATTTCTCAGTATAAGTTTCCTTTTCTTTCTTGTCATTTTCTTTTGTAGTTCAGTAACCTCTTTTCTTCTGTAAAGTATTCCATGACACCTTGCTTTATATAGTTCATTTCCTTTTAATCTCTCTCAGTGGGATATATTATAAGCTTAGAGATGAACAAAGAGGCTTTAGGAAGAGTAGGGGATGTGTAAACCAAGTGTTTATGCTGAGGAAGTTTTTGTTGCATTTGTGGAAAAGCATCTGGTAGGGTGGATGTTGAAAGTGTATGGAATAGGTGGTAGATTACTGAATGCAGTTAAGAGTTTTTATGAGGATAATGAGGCTCAGGTTAGGGTATGTAAAAGAGAGGAAGATTATTTTTCAGTAAAAGTAGACCTTGGACAGGGATGCATGGTGTCACCATGATTGTTTAACATGTTTAGAGATGGGTTTGTAAAAGAAGTGAATGCTAGGGTGTTCAGGAGATGTTATTTTTTTTATTAACACATTGGCTGTTTCCTAGCTAGGCAGGGTGGCCTGAAAAAGAAAAACTTTCATTGTCATTCACTCTGTCACTGTCTTGCCAGAGGGATGCTTACACTACACTTATAAAACTGCAACACTAACACCCCTCCTTCAGAGTGCTGGCACCTTACTTCCCATCTCCAGGATTCAAGTCCAGCCTGCCCGTCAAGTCCTAAAAACCCCTTGTCTCCATTTGTTCCTATCTAACACACTCACACACTTGCTGGAAGTCCAAGCCCCTTGCACGCAAAACCTCCTTTACCCCCTCCCTCCATCCTTTCCTAGGCTGACCCCTACCCTGTCTCCCCTCCACTTCAGATTTATACACTCACGAAGTCATTCTGTTTCGCTCTATCCTTTCTATGAAATAGAATGTGAGGTATGGGATTAAAATGTGGTAGGAGAAAATTCTCAAACAGCTTCAGGGAGAACCTTGAGTTTTCCCTGAAGCAAGTTTATTCATTTCTCTGAGGATGAGGGTCCCCAGGACAGTTCTAGAGGTGGTACCTCCCTATATTTTAAAGTGAGAGTTATCAGTTTCTTTTTGCCAATAACAGTGTGCTTTTGGGAGATTCTGAAGGGAATTTGCAGAGGTAGTTGGACAAATTTGGAAGGGTATGTAAAAGAAGGAAATTTAGAGTGATTATTGGAAAGAGCAAGGTGATGAGAGTAACAAAAAAGTTTAGGTAATGAAAGATTGGATATCAGATTGGAGGGAGGGAGTATGGTGGAAGTGAATGTGTTCAGATATTTAGGATATTGAGGTGAACCATAGAATTGATGATGGGAAAAATGTGAGTGATGCACTGAAGCATCTGTAGAGACAAAGAACATTATCCATGTACCCAAAATGGGAAATGTATGAGAGTATAGTGGTACCAACACACTTATATGGGTGTGAAGCATGGGTGGTGAATGTTGCTGCGAGGAGGAGGCTGGAAATGTCATGTCTGAGGGCAGTGTGTGGTGTAAGTATTATGCAAAGAATTAGTAGCTTGGAGATTAGGAGGAGGTATGAGGTTATTAAAAATATTATCCAGAGAGCTGAGGAGAGGTTGTTGAGTTGGTTTGGATGTTTGGAAAGGATGTGTAAATTTGTAGTGGAGGGAAGGCAGGGTAAAGGTTGGAGAGATGGGGTAAAGGCGATTTTGTGTGCCAGGGGCTCGGACATCCAGCAGGCATGTGTGAGCTTTTTGTATAGGAGTGAGTGGAGGCAAATGGTTCTTATGACCTGACGAGCTGTTGGAATGTGAGCAGGTTAACATTTACGAAAGGATTCAGGGGAAACTAGTTAGCTGGACTTGAGTCCTGGAGGTGAGAAGTACATTTCCTGCACTCTACAGGAGGGGTGGGGATATTTGTAGTTTGAAGAGGCATCTGGCTGTGGTATTAGCATTCCTCTGGCAAGACATTGGAGTAAATAATAGTTTTTCTTCTTTTTAGGGATCACTCTACCTAAGTAAGAGATGGCCATTGTGTAAAAAAAAAAAAAAGAAAAAAAAAATTGTGCATTCAGGTTTTCTATACATTGCTCTTTGTTAAGAGTGCTCTGAATGGTTTCCAATAAAATGTTAATTAGTTGAGTGTTTATTTCATTGGATTGTTGAAATTCAATTTACTAAGCATTTCCTTTGTTTGGCTATCTCTTAAGTATCCACACACAAATTGATTCTTATTTGCATCTCACTTTAGTTGCATTCGGAATTTAATTTAATTTAAAGTGAGATTGTTAGGTTCCTTAGTTCCTTATTGCTTGTGAAGATAAATCTTAGATATTTTCATTTCTAGAAGTGATCAAGTTCCTAGGACCAAAACATTGCCTAATATGTCCTAGTGTTTTGTAACATGTCTTTTTCTAAAACAACTGGTTCTGTTAATCCAAATTTTTTGTTAAATCATAACCTTGGACAGCCTCCTTTCCTGATCGAGTCAAATTTTTGGTGTTCCACTGTATCACAGGAATAAGAATTCTTCAGAAGTGCAAGAAAGTAAAGATAAGTGTATAATGAATATAAGTAGATGTTTGTAAGGTATTACTGTCATCCTATTAGTTTCAGAAAGCAAGGAAAAATCAGCGGTTCTCCCAGTGTACCAAACATTAAACAATACGTAACACAAGATTTTTTCGGATTTTAACCCAGAGGGTAACCACCCAGGATAACCCTAGAAAGCCAGTGCATCCTTCATTGGGGTCCTTCAGGCTTGTCCTTCAGGATGCAACCAACACCAGTAGACTAACACCCAGGTACCTACTTACTGCTAGATGAACAGGGGCAGCAGTTGTAAGGAAACATGACCAACGTTTCCACACATGCCGGGGATTGAACCACAGACACTCAGTGTGTGAGGCAAAAGCATTGGCAACCAAGCCACAGGACACTTTTAACAGGCTTCTGTTTTATACATGTTAGACAAGACAATAATACCTACCTGAAAGGTTACTGGTACTTCATGTCTTTTCTTGTTGCTGAGCTGTTTCATTTTTTTTTCTCCTTCCCCTTTTCAAGAGTTATTTTAGTGTACTGTACTTTAAAATAATTTGGTGAGGAGGATGACTGGGTACAGTCCTTGTCATTTAAAGGCTTTTCTTTTGTGTGTATGCTTATCATATTTAATGAACTGTATTTTAATAAGGTTCTCGACCTAGTGAGAAGTCGAGCATAAGGCCAGTTCCACCACCTTCCACGAGAGGAGGGCGACCACCCCCACCATCCACTGGCCCTCACACTCGACCACCTATACCTCGGAGACCTGAACCACGAGATCCCAGGTGAATAAATTATTTTGTGCACACATCTTTTATTTCCATTAAATTTTATGTTAATACAGTACAGTATTTTCCTTCCTACTATAGAATTTAGAAGAAATTATAGATTTACCCTTCACTTTATATATACATACCATATTTTACAGTGAACAAGATGCTCCGGTGTCGAGGAGGCCCCCCCTCCCCATTCTGATTAACTAAATTTTGGAAAAAAATATAAATGGTATCCATGGTAATAATGTTATTTTAAGCCTGAGGCATTACAAATGTAGAGGTTGAGGCCTATGAGGAACATAACCTCCAACAAAGCCTCAGAGATGCTGGGTAAATTTTCCAGACCTATTTCTTGGAAAAAAATAGCATCTTCGATGCCATAAAATCTGGTAATTATCTTCCTGTTATGGGCCCATGGGAGGCTCACTTTGGAACATGTCATATGTCTCTTTACTTATTACTTACCTCTTGTACTTCAGTAAGGGTTCTGGATTCTTTGTTAGTCCTTGTTCACCAGAGCTTAAAAGGTTATTAGCCAAATGGGTCCTATGAGACCCATACTACTTTAGTTGCTATCCATGTATGGCATGCAGATGCATCCTGCCTTTATTTATGGATACTTCCACAGCCAAACACTTATGGGGGGTCACTAACAACTTGGCCAGTCCCAAACCAGGCCTCCTGGTTGATGACTTTATCAGCCAGACTGATGATGATAGCTGCACACAGACCAGTGAAGGCACCTTGTTTAGGACAGTTCCTTATTTAGGACAGCTAAGATTTTGTTTTAGTCATTTTAAAAGGGCATGATAGTGTCCAGCAATATTCCAGTCAAGAGAAAACAAGTGACCTGGAGTATCATCACTGGCTTAGTATCTTTTGTTTTGCAACAACAACAACAACTACACTAACAGCTACACCAACAACTACAATAACAACTACTACTATGCCAACAAGGATTTACATATACCTGTAGCTCACTTTGAGCCTTCCAGACTTAGACTCCCATTCACCAAATGGTGACTGGTAATTTGGCTCTTGGTACTTTTATTGTGGTAATTTGACTCCCTCTTATTGTCACTCCTAGTAATTTCACTCATGTTAAAAAAGTTATTATTAGAAACTTTTATAATATTTAAAGCCACTTCTTAAAATGCTAAAACAAATTATTTAAAACATTTAAATTTATTAAAAATACATAGATGCAGTGGTAGTAGGTTAGCAGACAGCAACCGCCCAGGGAGGTACAATCGTCCTGCCAAGTGAGTGTGAAATGGAAGCCTGTAATTGTTTTACAAGAAGTTAGGATTGCTGGTGTCTTTTTTGTCTCATAAACACGCAAGGTTTCGGGTACATATTGCTACTTCTACTAACACTGAGGTCACACTACACATTCATGTACAAGCATATATATACCCACCCCTGGGTTTTCATCTATTTTCTTGCTATTGCTTGTTCTGGTTTATTTCCTCTTATCTCCATGGGAAAGTGGAATAGAATTCTTCCTCTGTAAGCCATGCGTGTCGTAAGAGGCGGCTAAAATGCTGGAAGCAAGGGGCTAGTAACTCCTTCTCTTGTATACAGTAGACCGTCATTTAACATGAGTTTATGTGGCACGGTTCGGGTATAGCATGATTGAAGAATTGGGGCACAATTTTATTTAGCACTTCGTAAAATTAATTTAACATAGTTCAGTTTGAAGGAGGGGAAAAAATTTTCTTTTCCTCAAGTGGCGGCCTTCTTGTGGATCAGCAGGGGAGACCTCTGCCATCCCCTGCCACCCCCCGATGCTCCTGACATCACTATCCTAGCATTCGTACTTCATACTTGTCCAGTTAGTTCCTCTTCTCTGCTACAAGCTAGCGGTGTTTGTGAATTGTGTTTTGATCTTTTAATTACCATATCTTGTATCTGCCAAGCAATCATGACACCCAGTAGGCATACCAGTGTTGCTGAAAGTGGCCAGAAAAGGTTATTATTATTATTATTATTATTATCACACTGGCCGATTCCCACCAAGGCAGGGTGGCCCGAAAAAGAAAAACTTTCACCATCATTCACTCCATCACTGTCTTGCCAGAAGGGTGCTTTACACTACAGTTTTTAAACTGCAACATTAACACCCCTCCTTCAGAGTGCAGACACTGTACTTCCCATCTCCAGGACTCAAGTCCGGCCTGCCGGTTTCCCTGAACCCCTTCATAAATGTAACTTTGCTCACACTCCAACAGCACGTCAAGTATTAAAAACCATTTGTCTCCATTCACTCCTATCAAACACACTCACGCATGCCTGCTGGAAGTCCAAGCCCCTCGCACACAAAACCTCCTTTACCCCCTCCCTCCAACCTTTCCTAGGCCGACCCCTACCCCGCCTTCCTTCCACTACAGACTGATACACTTTTGAAGTTATTCTGTTTCGCTCCATTCTCTCCACATGTCCGAACCACCTCAACAACCCTTCCTCAGCCCTCTGGACAACAGTTTTGGTAATCCCACACCTCCTCCTAACTTCCAAACTACGAATTCTCTGCATTATATTCACACCACACATTGCTCTCAGACATGACATCTCCACTGCCTCCAGCCTTCTCCTCGCTGCAACATTCATCACCCATGCTTTACACCCATATAAGAGCGTTGGTAAAACTATACTCTCATACATTCCCCTCTTTGCCTCCAAGGACAAAGTTCTTTGTCTCCACAGACTCCTAAGTGCACCACTCACCCTTTTCCCCTCATCAATTCTATGATTCACCTCATCTTTCATAGACCCATTTGCTGACACGTCCACTCCCAAATATCTGAATACATTCACCTCCTCCATACTCTCTCCCTCCAATCTGATATTCAATCTTTCATCACCTAATCTTTTTGTTATCCTCATAACCTTACTCTTTCCTGTATTCACTTTCAATTTTCTTCTTTTGCACACCCTACCAAATTCATCCACCAATCTCTGCAACTTCTCTTCAGAATCTCCCAAGAGCACAGTGTCATCAGCAAAGAGCAACTGTGACAACTCCCACTTTGTGTGTGATTCTTTATTCTTTTAACTCCACGCCTCTTGCCAAGACCCTCGCATTTACTTCTCTTACAACCCCATCTATAAATATATTAAACAACCACGGTGGCATCACACATCCTTGTCTAAGGCCTACTTTTACTGGGAAATAATTTCCCTCTTTCCTACATTACTCTAACTTGAGCCTCACTATCCTCGTAAAAACTCTTCACTGCTTTCAGTAACCTACCTCCTACACCATACACCTGCAACATCTGCCACATTGCCCCCCTATCCACCCTGTCATATGCCTTTTCCAAATCCATAAATGCCACAAAGACCTCTTTAGCCTTATCTAAAATACTGTTCACTTATATGTTTCACTGTAAACACCTGGTCCACACACCCCTACCTTTCCTAAAGCCTCCTTGTTCATCTGCTATCCTATTCTCCGTCTTACTCTTAATTCTTTCAATAATAACTCTACCATACACTTTACCAGGTATACTCAGCAGACTTATCCCCCTATAATTTTTCCATCTCTCTTTATCCCCTTTGCCTTATACAAAGGAACTATGCATGCTCTCTGCCAATCCCTAGGTACCTTACCCTCTTCCATACATTTATTAAAATAATTGCACCAACCACTCCAAAACTATATCCCCACCTGCTTTTAACATTTCTATCTTTATCCCATCAATCCCGGCTGCCTTACCCCCTTCATTTTACCTACTGCCTCACGAACTTCCCCCACACTCACAACTGGCTCTTCCTCATCCTACAAGATGTTGTTCCTCCTTGCCCTATACACAAAATCACAGCTTCCCTATCTTCATCAACATTTAACAATTCCTCAAAATATTCCCTCCATCTTCCCAATACCTCTAACTCTCCATTTAATAACTCTCCTCTCCTATTTTTAACTGACAAATCCATTTGTTCTCTAGGCTTTCTTAACTTGTTAATCTCACTCCAAAACTTTTTCTTATTTTCAACAAAATTTGTTGATAACATCTCACCCACTCTCTCATTTGCTCTCTTTTTACATTGCTTCACCACTCTCTTAACCTCTCTCTTTTTCTCCATATACTCTTCCCTCCTTGTATCACTTCTACTTTGTAAAAACTTCTCATATTCTAACTTTTTCTCCCTTACTACTCTCTTCACATCATCATTCCACCAATCGCTCCTCTTCCCTCCCGCACCCACTTTCCTGTAACCACAAATTTCTGCTGAACACTCTAACACGACATTTTTAAACCTACCCCATACCTCTTCGACCCCATTGCCTATGCTCTCATTAGCCCATCTATCCTCCAATAGCTGTTTATATCTTACCCTAACTGCCTCCTCTTTTAGTTTATAACCTTCACCTCTCTCTTCCCTGATGCTTCTATTCTCCTTGTATCCCATCTACCTTTTACTCTCAGTGTAGCTACAACTAGAATGTGATCTGATATATCTGTGGCCCCTCTATAAACATGTACATCCTGAAGTCTACTCAACAGTATTTTATCTACCACTACATATCCAACAAAACTACTGTCATTTCGCCCTACATCATATCTTGTATACTTATTTTATCCTCTTTTTCTTAAAATATGTATTACCTATAACTAAACCCCTTCTATACAGAGTTCATCAAAGGGCTCCCATTATCATTTACACCTGGCACCCCAAACTACCTACCACACCCTCTCTAAAAGTTTCTCCTACTTTAGCATTCAGGTCCCTACCACAATTACTCTCTCACTTGGTTCAAAGGCTCCTATACATTCACTTAACATCTCCAAAATCTCTCTCTCTCCTCTGCATTCTTCTCTTCTCCAGGTACATACACGCTTATTATGACCCACTTCTCGCATCCAACCTTTACTTTAATCCACGTAATTCTTGAATTTACACATTCATATTTCTTTTCTCCTTCCATAACTGATCATTCAACATTACTGCTACCCCTTCCTTTGCTCTAACTCTCTCAGATACTCCAGATTTAATCCCATTTA